CCCACATTACCTAAAATTTGAATTCTTAAAGCTTCAAGTGTCTACAGTCCGGTAATATTAACATCTGAATTACCTTCTATGATCGATTTTCCTTTTCCCTATTAATTCCCATGTTCCTCTTCATCTCCTCCTACCGGAACTTGTTCAGAAATATTTTCAGGCAAGTGGTAGTTCTTGCTCTTCCACTTGTTGATCTTCTTTCTCATCATCTTCTTTTTTTTCCTCTGTGGAGGATTTTCTTCTCCTTTTGCGGCTCTCTTCTACTCCTTCTTCTTCCAACGAGTCTGAGGAGGAGGTATCACCATGAATGACCTCCTTTTCGTTTTCTTGATTTACTTCTTCATCTCTTTGCAGTGTAGTAGAAATAGTGGCGAGTGGCTCCTCTTCTTTTTCTTACTGATCATTACCATCTCCTTCTTGACGATTCTCTTCTTCTTGATGATCATCACCATCTTCTTGATTTGTTTCTTGATCATCTACCAAGTCTTCATTGTCAGACCCTTCTTGGGGCATCTCAATTGTTATATTTGGTGCAGCCCACTAAGTTCACATAAGCCCGTGAGGATTAATTGTAGTAGCTTTCAATTTGTGAGAGAGAAACACAAAGGCTGGCATTGTGAAAAGTAAAAAACTGTGGCTTCTATTGAGAAAAATAGAAACCGTTGCTGTTGAAAGGAATTAGAGAGAAATTGTAGAGAGACAACTGGCTGGAAGAGAAGAAATTGTGGTTGTCACGGCGGCTGCAGTAGAAGAAATTGTGGTTGTCAGGGAAAGATTTCGTTTAAATTTGGTGTGGATTCACATAGTTCTTTCTTCTTTACATAATATAAATAAAGATATCCTCTAAGGTGTATTTGGGTACTTCATAGGTGTTGCATTCAAAGTGGGTTCTCACAAGTTTAATCAAACTGGTGATTTGTGGAGAGATAAATTGTTGTCTTGGAGATTAATTATTATGGTACTTCCAATTTGTTGAGAATTCAAATTTTAGGCCATAAACTTGAATATTGTAATATATATTTTTATGATAATGGATTTTGGTCAGAGTTGGCCCGTGGTTTTTCTTCCCTCTACATTAGGGAGTTTTTTCCACGAAAAAATTTGGTATTGCGTTCTCTTGTTTTGTTTTCATCAGCTACTTGCATATTTAATCACCATAGTTAATTGTTTAGATCGGTAAACTTATTCTTGCAATAAGTGAAATTGCCCGATATCAATATCTTACTCTTGTCTTGTTTCTATTTTTGGTTCATCTTCATCTACATTGTGATTATCAATAATCTGTTCGTGGTCTGGGAAAGCATGTAGTGATTCAGGTTGTATATATATATATATATATATATATAGAGAGAGAGAGAGAGAGAGAGAGA